TCTGGGCGGCACCTGTGGCTCAAAGGAGTAGGGCACCAGCCCCATATGCCAGAGGTGGTGGGTTCAAACCCAGCTCCGGCCAAAAACCGTAAAAACAAAAAAACAAAAAAACAAAAAAAACATTCTAAGCAGAGAGGACAGTATGTACAGCCACAAAATTGACAGGAAGGAACAAGCCTGTGGGTGAAGGAGTCTGGGTAGGGGGTAAGTCTGGGGCAGGTCGGAGAGAGCCTTGCATGTCATGGCAATAGCTGGACTTGATCTTATCATCAAAAGCACACCACAAGAGGGTTTTCATCTGGCCATGAAGTACTCAGGTCTGGTGCTGTCTAGATGAAGACTGTGCAGCGTGGGAAATGAGCAGGGAGAGGCCAGGGTAGGAAGGCCGGGCGGAAGATAGTTATGGTGTCCCACATTAGAAGTCTCAGGGAAACTGGACACGATCCATTTGATTTGATTTGGATTAAATGTGCTCAATAAATCCATCTTAAAGGGCATAATAATGGAAGAAAAGTAGAAAGGGAGGGTGTTGATACCTCCCAGTGTCCCTCTATTCTCCTTCCTTCCCGCATCAGTCACGTTCTTCCAGCCATCTCTTGCGGCCTGGACACCCCCCATGGTAAAACTGAGCTCAGATCTTCTCTGTGCCATTCGCTCTCAAAACAGCTGCTCGAGGCATGTCCCTCCCTGTCATCTAGCATTAGATGGTCCCACCTACCTGTTTTAAGGATAAAATGACCAAGTGCTTTCCCCCATCTTCCTTCCCAGGCCCTTAGTTCACCTCAGGATCCCTCCTGGCATAACCCACAGTCACCCCTTAGGTCTAGGCTTAGGGTAGGATTCTATGGGGGTTTCTACCTGGTGTTTCTCAAGTCTGTTCATGTGTTAGTCAAACTAATGGAGGGGACATTAAAGCCAATATACAGAGTCTCTGAAGGGGTCCTGATCTGCATATAAACAGGTAATTCAACAGAGGAGAGAATTGTTTTAAGTAGTAGCAAGCAAGGAGAAATGGGAGAAGGATTGGTAGGATGAGAAAGGAGAACAAGCAGGCAACTGGCAGAGGGAGGACAGAGTTTGATCCTTGCAAACCTACCCCCTAGTCTTTTTTTTTTTTTTTTTTTTTTGCATTTTTTGGCTGGGGCTGGGTTTGAACTTGCCACCTCTGGCATATGGGGCCGGCGCCCCACTCCTTTGAGCCACAGGCGCTGCCCTTATCCCCTATGCTTTCAAGCACAGCTCTGCTCTCTCATTCTCTCAGCCCATGGAATGGAGCAGCCCCATGTGCAGAGGGGCTTCATGCACCTGTCTCAGAGACTTCTACAAAATTATAAAAGAAAGGTTTTTTGAATTTAGATGAAACTGTAAAAGAATCGTAATGCAAAGTGAAAATAGACAAAACGGAAAATGCTGTAAGTGTCCCCTCCTAACCGATAACGTCTGGCCACCAGCCCCAGAGGCCCTAAGCTGTGCTCTGTTACCGGTGCAACTGGGAATGGCTCCTGCTGAGTCCCCGCCAGGCAGACTGAGCAATCCCTCACTGAGGGAACAGCAGGCCGAGCCCAGGCCAATCCACAGTGGGGCTGTCATCAGGAAGGAGGTCACCATTGCAGAGCCACAGTTCGATCCTATCCCCATCCCTCCCAGCCTGCCGGTTACCAGGTGAACACCAGCTTTCCCTGGTCCTGCCTGTGCCGGGGAAGCTTGTCCCCTGTCCTGTGGAATTCCCGGAGCACAGCTCCTCCCCAGGGCTCTCCCCACACTTCCCTTTCCCTTGTTCCCCTGACCACACAACCCTCAGAGACAGGATGTCATATTTGATTTTTTTTTTAATTTTACAAGAATATAACATGCTGAAACAGGAAAAGGGTGAATGTATACATCATTCATATCTAGGAAACCAGCTCCTTGTGTCAACAATAAATAAATATTTAAACAGTAGGAGTTCCTGACAGGCTCCAAGAGGGTCCCAGCACGTTCAGAGGTAGAGTCTGGTGGAGAGAGGGAGACAGCCAGGCTGCAACTCCTGCTGAGATTCTCCAGTACAGGCAAGTTGAAATTACAATAATAAATAACAGCAACAGCACCAACAACAATAACAAAAATAGTATGTTGTGACAATTAGCACAAAACAATACAATATACTTAAATAATTTTCTCCTGGAGGGGCACACAGTGCAGAGAACAGTGTTAATTACCATGGGCCATAAGGGGCTGCCCTGGAGAGTTCACTCCCCTACCCAGGCTCTTCCGCAGGAGGTCCCCCTGTGGGATGTCTGTTTGGTGGTGCCTGGAGGTGACAGGCAAGTTCTGGTCCCTCCCCAGCCCCACCCTTTCAAGCAGCCTCTCTCCCCAGCATCGCTCCCAGGTTCTGTATCTGGCCAAGGGCCACTGGGGTCCCTGTCCCATCTCTGCCAACATCCCAGTGGTGCACCTCATGTCCACAGGAAAGAAACACAAGGTTCCCCTTCCATCCTAGGGCATCTCTTTTACCCACAAAAAATGGACTTTCGGGAGCTGCCGAGAGATGTGTTTCCTATCATTCTTTTCTCCTTCACTCCACACTGCCAGGCATGAGAGCTGGACCAGCTGCCCCCAAGGAGGTCTCTCTGCTGTCCCCACCTTCAAG